GAAGGGGCCTATAACTCCTGGGATTCCATAGAAATGGAGCCACAGCTGTTAAAGTGGCGTCATGTTTCTACAGGACACATGTGCCTCACCAAAACTGAGAATGGTTCATAATAAAATGAGTTTCCTCTTTTTGTACGGGGTTCTAAGAGAAAGTTTCTCACTGTGTCCTTCGGGCACAGAAATACACTGCTGAGTCCTCTGATGTCAGAGAACTCAGCTGGAGCGAGAACTCATTCTTGGAAGTGTCTGAAGAGATGGTGATTCGACTCTTTAGAGAAGTGGCATAGCGTTTGCTCCCATCGTAGGGATATATTTCTGCAACCCATTCTAAACCTTTGCCACGAGGCTGTCGGACCCAATGCCATGGATAATATCGAGTAGAGATGGAGAACCCAGTCACTTTACAAAGCAGGTGGAGAGTTTCCCCAGGTCTCACTATCCCAGGTCCAGAAGATACAAGCTGAACATCCAGGAAGACACCTAGGAGAGAGAGAATATTTCAACAAATATCTAATATCATTTACAACAGAAAGCAGCAATGGGTTTAGACAGGTCATAGAACACGAACCTACCTTTTGGCAAAGCCACCAAAAAACACAATATCAAAAACTTCATTATGTTAAATGAAAAAAAAATATTCTCACTGGGCAGAAAAGAGGGGCCTTGATGTCAGAAAATATTTGAGGCAATATTTGAAGGGTTCTCTTTTTGAAGGGGTTTCTCACCATCCCTGCCATTCCCTGGAGAGATTTGCATGAGCCATCCCTTTGCAGTGCCACAAATATAAATGGGTTGCTAAGAAGAGAAATGTGAAAATCTCCATTTCATTCTCATTATATTTCTTCACCTCCATTCAGACCCATCTTTTGTTTCCCTTAGATTGCAAGGATTTGTTTTTCTGAATCTATTTTACTATGTTGAACAACCAGAAAGAGTAGCGTTGTACATCTGTGTATGTTTCTTTAAACATACACACACATTTTTAAAGTTGTGGTGTAATAGATACATTCAGTTCACGGTTGCATACATGAAGATGTATTCAAGTTGGGAATAATTTACAGGATTTCAGTTGTGCATTCCTTTCAATGTGCACTCTCTTTCCTTGGTTTGCAGGAATATCCGCTGTGCACTCCCATTGTTCAGTAGTACCATAAGCAAGCAGATGCATTACCAGATACACAATTGAATCTGCAGTGTTGGTATATTTTCAGAAGAGCATCATGATACAATCACAGTATAAGTACATCGGAACAAATGTATACCATGTAAGCAAAATGTAAGTTCTCAGTCTTCTTGAGTACTG